TGCCCATTGACTGGGGTATGATGTTCTTCGTCGGAATCTGTCTCTGTGGCCTCGTCGTCGTCGGATTCGGTTGATGAATCAGCACTTGGTACGTTGTTCTCCTTTCTCATTCTTCCACCACTTCCTACTCCTCCCCTTCCTCGTCCACGGCCTCGTCCTGCCCCTGCCCCCGTCCAGTCGTTTCCCCGCGCTTCTTCTTTGCATCAGCGTTGATCAAGCGGGTCAGATCACGAAGTGCTCTCCTCTCTTGGACGCCTTTCGCATGTTCCTCCTTTTCTCGTCGTCGACGCTCTTGATCTGCTTTCTTCTGTGCCCGCCTTTCTTCTGCCTCCTTCTTCTTGTTCTCTGCTTCCTCTGCCTCCCTTTGTTTCGCCTCTAAACCTTCCCCCATCGTGAAGCATCTCGCAGCGCCCTGAAAATATCCACGACTCTTCTCCTTCTTCTGGCTTTTGGCATTCAACATGTTATTCAATTTCAGGTTTTCGCGGGCCATCAGGACAGCATGCGCTTCAGACATCTCTGCCTGTCGTTGCACTGCCTTCACCTGCTCTTCAAGGATCCCTACCTTCGACAACAATACATTGCGGGTTGCATACCGGAGATTTTTTGACCCAGATCGTAGCTCTGGACGCTGTGGGTCTGTGTTTCGGGTACTCGGACCCGCGGTTGTGTCAATTACGGTGTCTGTTGATGTGTCCGAGTGTACGGGTGATGGTGGGAGGGGTGGATATGACTTCGGGAGATGGCTTCGGGTAGATGTCGTCCAGCTCGGCGCGTAATCGTCCTCAGTGAATATATTTGGATTCAAAGGCCGGATGCCTGTTTTCCGAAAAGCGCTCAGAATATTCTCCTCCGTCATGACCTCCTTTCTAATCTCCAGGTAAACAGGGATGAGTGTGTCTTTGGTGACAACGAGACCTATATCTGCTAATTCATCACATTTCTTGCCCCATTTCCGCTCCGTCGGACCAAAGATACCAACGTCAAGAGGCTGGGTTTTGTGCGTGGTTTTCGTAGGAAATGAAAACAGGTCTATGCCGGCAGCCACTGCTTCTTTGACGAGCGGGTAATCCTCGTGGGATATGTGACCATCCCAGACCAAAGCTATACCCTCGTTTGTAACATTGCGTGCTAGCGCAGTGGGTATGAAATATTTCATGAACCAATCCCTGGTTAGACCATTGTCTGTCCAACCATTTTCAGACACGCTAACACTTTAAGTGCAAAAATCACTATCGGTCGCGAAGCATGATTGACTGGAACATACCATCCTGCCCCTTCGGTCTCTCTAGTGAACCACTGCTTCCGCAACCGCTTTCCCTTGAAGACAAAGCCCGGTTTCAGGGCAGTACCATCGGACAGATGCATTCAACGATTGTCACGAGCTCCAAGTCTGAGTTGGCCGATCGGTAGCAGGCTTTGGAATGGCGGGACAAAATGTATTTTTCACCTCGATTTTTACGTCCACCTCCCAGCTGTACCCCCTTCTCATCCATATTGTACACATTCCTCCATGGTATGTTCTTTTCCTTCAACAGTGCCTGCAATTTTTCGAAGTAGTCGTGCATAGATTCCGGATTGAAGGCATGCGCCCTTCTCGGGTCCAAACCTGAAGTCTTGCCAGTCAAAATGTCGGCTTCGTGACGCTTGAGGAACCTGTCGAGCCAATGAACGCCTGGGTCCCGCCCGCACAGGGATTTAACCTTCGGAAGTATAGTTTTCCGATTGAGGGGATGAGCTGTCATCGTGAGGTAATGACACCAGTCAACAAGAACCTTCTCCTGTGCCTCGGTTAATAGCTGTTGTTCCACATGGGCTTCATGAGCTGGTTTCTTCCCATTTGCGCAGTCATTAAGGGTGCTTTTGCCCACTCCGTAAAGTGCTGCAGCCTCTCGGAATGTGTATTTTCCCTGGGCAATATCTGCAAGAGCCAGGGAAGCGCGCTGTTCTTGGGGGAGCTTATGGAAGGGCGTGGGTGCTATGAAGGCCAGAAGAGCCTCCAAAGAGTAGAATATTGATAGAGGAGTACGGTGGCGAAATGATTGTTTGGATTGATTTGTACAGGGTTGATCCTCCCAAAACCGGAATTGCACCGGCTACAGAGCATCGTTTACCATGAAATTTGGCATGGCCACTCGTTATGATGTATTGCCTCCAATTGGATACCGTTTGTTGGCATTACACCAGAAAATCCCACAAAGCACACTTAAATTACTGAAAATTCACGAGTTGTCATTTCTTGTGGGCTTTCCAGACGGAAGGATCTACACTATCACACCAATCTATGTTCTAAGCTAGTGTGCGATATCCTAAAGATAATTTAGGTGAAGAAATCTCGGAGAAAGATGGAGAACTGAGTGAGATATGATTATCTGTCCGAGTAGTAGGTTTGTCCGGGCCGGCAGTCAACGATAGTACAACTTGTTCCCCATGAAACCTCATCTGTCCTCTTGATATTATCCAGCTTGTATGCCATTCTTGAACTGCATTGGCATTTCTTCCTTTGTTTGGAAGCTCATTGATTACTCACACATTTAGCAAGAGCCGATTGAAGTGATGAGCTTGACTGAACTGAACTGTGAGGAGAGGGAGGCAAAATAATAACCCACAGCCAACTTTAATGTGCCACAATTATATATTGCCTTGTGTCCCCATGTCCTTGGGCCAATTCAAACCCAAAGGGAGAGCATACATTCCTGGATGTGGCTGATAGTACAAAGTGGCATACATCTGAGATAGGAATGGGGTAGGTGGAAGAGATGTTGGACATAGCTGTTTATAAGGATGACTCAGACAACTTAGATGTCTAAGCTAGTGTACAATGTCTGATTATACCTTGTAAACATGTTAAGCACATTTCTGCCAAGTCCACACCTCTTAATTGGCAGAGGAGATCTTATCACACATATTGCCAATGGGTGTGCCCAGTTAGCAGGCTCACCCATCCCATCACACCATCATCCTTTGTGCATGATCTTGGTGTGTTTAGTTTCTATATCAGTCTGGTTGGTCTGCCGGTTTCTTTTTGTTTCTTGTGAGCCTGTGACACCTACTGGTTCACAAGTCTAGATGATTTATTTAAACAGTGTGTGGTAAGTATACAGGCTTCCATGCAAACAGAGGCTTTGGTTAGGTCACTATCCTATGAACAGCAAATTTCTGTATTGTCTACATTTGGAAAACACCCAGTCGCTAGGTAGGGCAGGATAGGGTCCCAGAGAGCCATAGTCAACCCCCACCCACCCCCCCTTCTAGTGAGACTTACCATAGATAGCCATGGAGCTTGAGATCCATAGAGTCATTGAGCCAGTAGAGTTTGGGGTCTGAGATAGCCAGTGATGTGCGACCATCATTCCTTTCCATTTGCATCTGCCTCAGGTCACAAAAAATAAGGAAAGAGAAATATATGATTGATTTCATTATGTACCAAAGTCTCAGTACTAAGTATGGCCTGGAGTGAGGAATTGGTTAGCACAAATAAGCGAAAGGCATGATGTGATTGATGTTTTGATTTGAGTTTGATGGGCTTCAAGTTACAGCTGAGGTGCTTCAAGCTTGATGAAGGAAAGCCTGGGATGGCACAGGGAGAGAGTGAGTAGTGGAGGACAAAGATCAGTTGACAACAGAGTGATGGATTTTGAGGTGTTATTATATTGTTGAAGTGCTGAAGGTAGTGTGAAATCTTGAAGTCTTCTGCACATCCAATGATATAGCAGATTGAGGAGCCCAAATTGAGAAAGGAAATGCGAGAGCAAGGACAAGTCAGAGCAGCAGCAGAGAGAAAAGATGGTGATGGGGAGAAGAGGAAAAATGCCACAACTTTTATGGTGGCGCTACTTATGAGTGCATGGATAGGCCATTCATAAGCAAGGCCATGATGTGTTGTAGTGTGAGGTAGAAACAGATGATCTACTATGAGCCTACATGTCTGCATAGATGAAACGGAGCTACCAGGCTCTATGAAGAACTGCACTGCCACATCTACCCAGCAGGCTGTCATCTATCCCAGAAAACCATGTTTCCAGATGTAGGCTAGCCTTTTCAGATTGTCAGTGGATCTCCTGTTCTACAGCCAGTAACAAGGTGGGATGTTTTGTGACACAATGTGCATTCACCAAGAGATTTTCTGTTTCTATTCCAATCAAATCTGACTAATTCCAAATATCTCTGCCTAGACTCAAATTATTTAGTTGGCTGTGGTTTATAACAAACATTTTTAATGAGTAACATAATCACAGATGGATCCTATTTCTATTGAATAGATTGTGAATTCAGCAACACTAGATTTCTTGGTGAAATCAGTCCACTTGTACCCTTTTCTGTAGCCTTCCTCTGGCATCATCTCTGGTGTATTGAGCTTCAACAGCATTGAAAGTGTCATTCAAATAGATTGTAATTCCACAGGTAGAGACCCCAGGGCCGAACTGAATGGTCTGTGTCTGTGTATCATACAAAAGTAACAGTGCATATTTATTTTGCTTTTGTTTTCTTCATCTTCCATTTTCTTTGTTAATTTTCCTACCCATGGCAGAGCTTAGAACTTCAGTTTTTATAGATGGTAAAACCCCTTCATGGACTGAATGTATCACTATCTCCCTGTGCAAAAACTGATGTGGAACGATTGAAAAATGCCTAACTGTATTCACCATCCATAAAATCCTCCCATGTTAATCCAGGACATAAAAAAATCAGTTTTAGTCATGATAATTGCTTATGATTCAGTAAACTGGACAGCTGAGGCTGCTGCACCACCTGCTTACAAGCAGCTCATCCCAGAGTGTCTGAGCAGTCGGCCCAACTGTTGCCATCACATGAATTGTCAGATTTAAGCACCTCATCCCTTAAAACTGTGTGATTCTAGTTCTTCATTCCATCTTGCCAGTGCCTGCAATAGACATGGATAGGTTTAGTTGACAACACTGGGCACTGTTTCTGGTACTAATGATTAAACTGAATCTGAGCGCTCCGAAACGAGGGCCATGAAAAAAAGACATAAAAAATGGACACATTGGGAATTGAACCCAACACCTCTCGCATGATTCCATAAGCCGCCAGTTCATTCCGGACAACAATGATTTGCTAAGCGAGCGTGATAACCAACTACACCATGTGCCCAATGAATTAAGCTCTGATTCTAATACCTATGGTCAGCAGTGTGCTGATTTCAACAAATCTTTGTACCACATTCTGCTCCCCCTGTTGTTGCTTCTTTCCGAGGCTCCAAAATGCTGTCATGGATGACATGCCATTGAAGAGCAACATATATTCATCCAATCTTGATCCAATGCAGAGCATATAAGCGAACATTCATTTCCAAATCATGGAGGGGAGAACAAAAGCACAATGGTTGAATCTCTGAATTTGTGGCGAGGAAAGAACCAAAGTTTCTTGCTCTGCCACTTTGTGGCTTGTCAAGCTGAATTGGATGCAGTCCAAAGTCCAAAGTCTTCACCTGATAGGAGTGTCAAGACAAGTAAAATGGAGTGCGCTTGAACAGAGTGCAGAACCTTGCTCAGGTAAGTCCAAAATTCCGAAATGAAGCAAATCTAGACTATCACACGCTGATAGAAAGGGATGGCAGGTGGGAGAGCAAAAAAGGGGAGATTCCAGCAGCTAGTGCATTGGGATGTTGAGACAGAGAGAGAATTGGAGAGAACAACAGAAACCAAGAGGTACCTGCTGGAAGATGCCGAGACTAGAGAGCAGGGGTCTACTGGACCCTTATTTCACTTTTCTTGCTATGCATAAAAAATGTGTTTAAAGAGTTGAAGAAAAATCGGGTTTTTGGGGTGAAAAAAACCTTGTGGAGGACGAATTTTCTTAACTGGTTCAAATCTCAAATTCGCTCCATCAGGATTGTTAAACAATTGCCGCTGGCCATCAAACATGTCCAATTCATCAGTTTGATCTGTGTTCTGATTGGATTAAGAAAGACATGCCATCTGAGCATGTAATTGCAAAGGTGGAACCTGAAAAAAATAGTGCATGTAGTTGGCACTCTGTGTAATACAAAGCATATGATAGTGAGCTAGGAATGTGTGTGATTGAAATTAAACAAGGAGCAACGACCAAAAAAAACTGCATTTGGGTGATTTCATAGGCACCATATGTGACTGATGTGTGATGTCACACAGGGAGGGAGGGTCCGGCAAGACCTTAATTCACTTTTTTTGACCTAGTGTACAAAATTTTTGATGCAGGTACCCCTTGATGGAAACAGATTTGCAACAGGTGAGAATGGGGAAAAATGGGATTGCACCTGGATACATAGTAATTCTACTGCTCCTTTTATCTGGTAGGTACAGCTCTATGAGTAATATAAACATAGTCACAAATAGTAGCGGGGAATGTCTGCATAGCTGAATAAGGAAATTGTAGTATGCAAGGGAAATCCCCCCTTCACTACTGCATGGGTTCTTCCCACTCTTTTACTGAAAGACTTATTCTTACTCTTCTATTGTGGGCTTTGTTCCTGCTTATATTCCAACCTTGGTTGCACACCTTGCTGGTTGTGTCTGCAGAGTCATACATCCATATCTCTGTCCTATGTTGTGTGCATGCCTACCCACTGCTCTCTGGATTAAAGCAGACTTTGCATGGCTTTGCACTGGCCTTGTCCTGGAAGTGGGTTAAGTGATGTAGGACTGATGAGAAGGAGCCACCTGCTCCACAACACTTGTACTGATCTCCAGGACTTGCAGTCAGCCATATATTCTCTGTGATTGTGCTTGGATTGTCTATGAGTGGCACTTGCAGAACATGCACCCACACAATTTTTTATATCCCCACTACAGTTGCTATGTGATATCACATCTCCTGCTGTCCAGAACATTGCATTTTCCTTCTGTGTATATCATTATTGGCCAATCATCTCGTTTGTCTGAATTCTTGCATATATGAAGAATGTTGCCATTAATTTCAAAGGATGTGAATATTAGATCCCGAAGGATATGGATTCATCGTGCACTGCAGCCACAGACCTTCCAACCATATCCTATTCCAAATCGGGACAGGTGTGATGTCCTCTAGAACCTTTCATGCACCTGCCAGCCCTTGCAATCTACACAGGATGTGTTATCGACCTGCTACTGCTGACTACTGGGTATGGATTGGTAACTAAATAAACTGTATTGCCTCAAAAGGTTGAACCATATCATTTGAAAAGGTTGAATTCCAGATTAAAATATCTAGGGTTCCTAGCACTTCCCCCAGTCTACGAATTAGTCCACAGATTCACATTATCTTCTCGAACTTCCATGCTGTCACGGTGTCGCTCTCATCTTCCTAGTAGCTCCAGCAGATCTGCTTGATGATACTATTTGAGGTTTATCGCTCATTGCTCATGTAGTTCCTAGTGTATGTATATACACGTAAAGGTGCTGTTGAAAGACTTCATTTTCCTGTGGAGATTCCCATGTTATTTCATCAGCAAAAGTGGGAATTCTTGTTATGCCCAGACAGTCTTGGCATACACATGCAGAGGTTGATGCTGTCTGCAAGGGAATGTCAGGCCACAAAAGGGAATGCAATGTGAACACCAAGCATTGATTATATCCTGAAAGCTACAGCAAGCATTTATAGTACTGTCTGGGTGTCACCAACTGTGCATAGTGGTCAACAAGATTTTGTTCATATGGCACAGACATCAGATACCAGAAATTAGCAACAAACATTTTGTTCTAAATGAAGTACGGTATCAATTTTGCTGCGAGGCTGGACCCATAACCTCCCATGGGGAGCCAGAATTATAGGAGGAGCAATAAGGCCGGCACACTCAATCCAGGATTGGTGCGCTTCCACTCCAGAAATCAGGGCCCAAATAAGTCACTATGTATAAAATGACATTTCAGGTTCAATTCAAGGTGCCCAAGGCACCGGGAAGAATGTTCTGAGCAAAAGACGGTAGAAATAGGGGGGATTTACCCAATCCGGCAATACTGGTTTTTTGATCACCAATTTCTGGCAGTGTTGCCGACCATAATCACTAGCTTTGCCAGCCTGGAAATTGGACCAGCGCAAGGTCATGGGGTCAAATTTTCATAAGCCACGTCCCTGCAGTGAACCTGCCATCAAACCGCTGCATACAAGTGTCTGCAGCTTATGATTAATAAGTGCTGGAAGATGCCCCCTGTGATAGACCTTGTAAGGTAGATTACTTTATGCAAGTTTTCACACATCATACTTAACTTTGCTGTCTCACACTGATTGCCAGGGTTATAAGGTGTTGTGAACTGGCATCATCTTTGCAGCAGGGTGGTCTCACATGGTATCACTCAGACAGCGAGAGACAGCAAGTTAACTTCTAGATTTCCAACAGATTTCTAGATCCTACCTGCTGGCAAGTTCATTTCACATGCCAACCTCTGATAGAATCGAACGGTTATTTCGGAATCCATCACCATCAACATTCTCCATACCTGTCCATGCGCACACTATATGATCTGACATTGATCATCAAACGATTTGCTGGCATTATTTCCTTCCACCCCTCCTGTCTCCCACCTTTCTTGTCAACAAGCCTCTTCCCTGTCAACAACACTTCAACAGAGTCCGCGCCATTTTCGTGACTTTGTAACTTCGCTTAGCATTGCGGAAGCTCATGAGTTTGATGGGAATATGTGAAACTTCGTGATTTTGATTGCTTTCTATGAAAGTTTGTGAGTTGGTATTCCAAGCTTGTCAAGCGGCAACTCCTCGGCACATCACAGAGTGATCGGTATCAACAGCTTGCCGAGATCACCTGTTAGGTTCGAGTTCGCTGATTAGTGGTTAGAGGTTAGTGGTTAGTGTCAGGGTGAAGGATCTATTTAAAAAAACACACCCTGGCTTGAGTGAAGGAACAATGATGGCTGATACTGCGGGTTCTTGAACGTGCAGAGTTAAACTCACAAACTTTCATGAATTCCCATCAAAGTCACAAACTTTCTCGTTCCTAAGCGAAGTTACAAAGTCACAAAGGTGGGTACGACTCCTTCAACAGCCCTCTTTCTTGCTACAACCATTCATCATGCTTCCTCCCCATTTTTAAGCACAATAGCCTGCACTTTAAGCAAAGGTCAAGATTCTCCATCATGACAAGATTCTCACCAAGACTGGAGCACATGCAAAACTGCAAGCTTGTGTGTCAATGTTAAGAGGTAAGATGGTTTTTAACTTAAAGCATTGCCCCACTGAATTGATCCAAGTTCTATATTTTAGAAAAGGGCAGCATCAGCGTTGGGTCAATGAATAGTTGCCTCAATGTCGGTGCTACCCGCGAACTACATAGTAATAGTACAGGTAAATAACATGTGATAGATTGTAATGTAAGCGGTCGGAGGAAGCGGAATAAGCGGACATCGCGGCGCCTGGTCTGGTGCCTTACAGTCAAGATAACCAAGTCACACCGGGGGCAAAGCCTGACGCACCTGGAATCCTAGTGCGTCCTAAGTGCATCTGAGGCATGTGGGCCGCAGGTTACAGGAAGCGGACAAAGAGTCCGTTGATCCAGATGAACAAAGTAAAATATATTGTATAATTAGATACCATCAAGGAATCTTATGCTTTATAAGGACTTAGTGTTCTCACTGAGCCTTCAAATCTTGGGGAAGTACCCTGGGAATACCATACACTGAGGGCTTGGTCTTGTGAGCTGTGAGACAGCTGCACCGATGGTCTGATTTGAGGCTGTTTCCCACACAAAATTGAACCCTCGGTACAGCTTTGCTATGGCTCACTGAAAAAACCTCCTAGTGTATGGTACTCAGCGGTACTCCAACACAATCTGAGCATTCAAAGAGAATTTTAAGTGCTTAGAAACAACCATATCTCTTTGTCCTATCTAATTATCTAATACATTCATCCGGATCACAGATCAATTGAAGGACTCTTTGTCCGCCTCCTGTCACCTGCCGCCCACATGCCTCAGACGCACCTGGAATCCAGGTGCGTCAGGCTTTGCCCCCGGTGTCAATTGTCTTCCATTCCTGTCTCAAGACCCTCAAGAGTCCGGATCAACTAAACTGTAGTTGGTCGTGTAGCTAGAAAAAATGTGTCTTTCATCGCAATTCAGTCTTTTTTTCCTGCCACTTTTCTTTTTGTGTGATTACAATTGAACTGAATCGCTTTTGGATGGT